TAACCAGTTTTGTTCATTTATGATTCTTAGCCTGTAAAGAGAGAATTGATGTTGTAGGCTCATGGTCTGGAACAGCACACACAGGTAATCATGGGCTTAATTCTGCATTTCTCAAGAAGAAAGAATCTAAATATTCACCTTGACATTTCTTGTATTGTTTTTGTGCTGGACTGCTTACAGTTCACTCCCGAACCATCACTTTTACAACTAAAATTGTAATTACAACTGATTGTCAGGATCTTAGTGCACAGAGCAAATTTACATCAGACTCATCCTATGCATTCCATTGCTTATCAAGTAAGTTAATATCTAGAACAGAGTTGACTTCTTGATACCTCACCGTCTTTTGATCTATCTTCTTCCAGCCACTGCATGATAAAGCAGGTGGTTAAAATAGTTCTTGGCTAAATGCCCCATATGTGTTCATAGAATTCTATTCTGATTAATTAATTTCACTTGAGAAGTGAACTTTTAAAAAGTAATCCTATATCATACCACTGCCCCTATGTCTGTAACATAGTTACTCTTTAGAAGAGTTAACTGAAATTTAGGTATTGTATATGAAGAGAGAAAACAGGCTATATTTTGGGATTCCTGTCACCAGTTTGAACTCTCCCCTTGTTTGAACTTTGATTTTTGAGTTCTCTTTTTCTTCTGAATTTATTTTCAGCTTATTTCTCTACAACATGTCTTAGATTGCTTCTTTCTACTCTTACTGTAGCCTTATCCATGTGTTATTTATGGCTTTCATAGTCATTTATCCTCCTGAAGACCTCCGGGTTTTCTTCTAGCTCTTACAGCTGCTTGGTTTCTAGTTGTTAAAAATATATCACATAGAAAATTTTAATTTCCCTCTTGTTCACAAATGAATACAAAATGTAAACCTGACAGGCCATCTTGTTTAAGAAAACACTGCATAGAAAGGACATTAAAAAACCATATCTTGATGTCAGAACTGGAAAAAAGATTACTTCTACTGTACCATATACAGTTCCTTACGGTCAAAAAAATATTAAGGGATACAAAATACTGATATTTGTGCTGTTGCCTTTTACCCCAACCTGGAAATGAAACTCGAGATAATTTTAATAAGGAGGTCAGAGGCAGTTATGGAAAGATGCCCATAAATCTCACCCCTCCAGGGCTGAGTACATTTTTATGGGTTTTAGGAAATTATCATAATTGATGAAAAGCACCAGTTAGGAGGACAAGTGGTGATGCAATGCCCCCTGAGGTCAAGCCCCTTCTCTGGAGCCCCCCCTTCAGCACTAGCTGTACTTTGTCCAGGAGAATGTACCTGAAAAAGTTGTTCTCAGCCTTGGTTCCCAGGAAGAACCAAGGTAGCACAGAGCTGTGCTCCTGGGGCTTGGAGCTCTGGAATTTGTTTTGTCTTTCTGCTGAAAGAAAAGCCATGGAAAAGTGCTGGGGAAACTAGTCACTAATACAATAGACTACAGAGCTACAAATATATGTGTGAAGAATACAGGAAGCATATAAAAGGAAAAAAGCAAAACCTAAATGGCATCAGTGCAGTGTGTTTTGTGATTCTGAAGTGACAACACTTTACAGACACCCTAGGATATGAAGGGCCCCAGGTGTAGCAATATGCAGAATATATATTTAGATTTGTTACATAAAAACAGCATACTGAGATGGCCTGTGGATTCAAATGCCTCATCTCCCTTAAGGCACTTTCCCCTCTGCTCTTCACTGCTGTCAAATACTGCCTTTTGAGAGGCTGTTATTCTAGAACATACAAAAGAGGACACCTGGACCTTAGAGTGCATTGCTTAAAAAACCATGGAGTAAGAAATGGCAACAATGGTTTTGAAGTGAGAGAAGTAATTATTTGATACATGATATTAATATAAAAAGCTCTTTCAAATCAATTTCTGAATTTATTTCTTAAGTATGCAACACACTATACATGACACACTATGTTATAACTACTAAAAGTCACTCAGCAGGGATTCTCCTGTATTAATGGGCCTCCAGTCTGCAGCATAAAGGCACAGAAACTTACTTAGGATATAGCAAAGGAATCTATTGAGAAATCAATTTGGTTTTGCTGTGTTCCTTTGGAAGTCCAACATGGCACCTTTTTTTCTAAGGTATGTCAAGAAGGACAGATAATTTAAGTTACATTTGTCTTTTGCAGAAAGGAATCCACAGCTAGATATTTGTAGCTGATTAAGCCGCCACAAACCAAATCCTAAATATAGCTTCCAAGTTCTGAAATAGTTTTGTGGAGTATATTCTTTAACTTAGAAATTGAATTAGTTGATTTTCAAGTTAAAAATGTATGTCCTTCATTCAAGATCATCTTGTGGTGGTTGTTTGAACAACACAGCAATAACAACAGTGTTCCTTCCTATTTACAGGACAGGTTGAGTATGCAAGATAAAACAAACATTTAATTTTGTTATTTCCAATTTTTTTTTACAGTTTTTACAATTGTAATATTTTTATATACAATTGTTATATACAAGCGCTTCTTGTATAATAAAACTCATAGTTAACACTTTTAATGATTCTAGCATGCAAATTCTGGTTTTTATATTTCTGTTGCCTTTCCTTGTCCCTAACAAAAAAGACAAGTAAAACGTAAATTAAAAGGAAGACAGCAAAGGTGCTTGCAGTTAGTAGAGACATAAACATTCAAAACATCACACAGAAAGGAAATCTGAATAGTTATCAAATAAGCCTAACTGAACATTTTGTAAGGCAAATTTTTTGTAATTAAATCTAAAGCTATTCAAAAAGGTTTGACTGGTTCTGGAGTTTAGTAAATCTTGCATTATTTAATTTTTTAATAACTATGCAGCAAGTAAATTTTTCTTTATCACTCCTCTCTCACTAAAATGTTGTATGCACTATATGTATAGTATTGTTAAATAATTTTAAAGTCTGAGACATATTATCCTTTTAAATTTAGGCTGACCAATAACATCCTTCATTCCTATCCCAGGGCAAAACAAACAAACAAACAAACAAACAAACAAACAACTTCTGAACTACATAGCATATGCCCTTCATTTTTATACAGTCCCTAAACCCATATTTATCTGTTCTTAAAATCAATAAACACATTGTTATTTTAAGTGAGATTGTATGCTTCTAACAAAAAATAACAATCAACCAAAAAAAAACCCAAACCAAAAAAAAGCAAAGAATAAAAACACAAAACCAAAACCAGAACAACCAAAAAAACCCCAAAACTGAGAAAAAAAAAACCAAGAAAAAGAGATGAAGAATAATTGATTCCTACAACTTCTAGTCCTCAAAAATTACTAAAAAAAAAAAAGTCTGTTAAATATTTTTAAAATGTTTAAATTAGTGTTGAGATACATAAGAGTACATAATAAACTTTTATTTTAAAAGGTAACAAAGTCCTGTGACACTATCTTGTGAGCTTTAAATGCATTGTTGGGTGATTATTGAAAACTCAGAATTTGAGTTTCAGTGTAACAAATGGTAGATGAAGGAATGAATATTTTGGAAAAGGTTAGGAAAAGACAAAGAGGGAAGGGAGGTGAAATTTTCTCTGTAAGCCTGCTGATCACTCTGAAGCAAATTTTATGTAACATATATTCAGTTCCATTTGAAGTGCAAAGCGCATAGCAATAAACCCAAGTTTCAGATCTTTATGGATCTAAGCTACACAGGTTTGGAATGGTGTTCATAACAAATTGCACTTATAAAGGTTTCCCTGTAACTAGGCTTAAGTGTTTTAGTTTTCTGACTTCATCAAAAGTAATCATTAAAGTTATTCTCTTGCATAAGTTTTTTTTTTTTTTTTTGAAAAATGCATGTATTATTTGTACATTAATTTAAAATCCTGAAGAAACTGCACAAGACAAGGTACTCATGCCTGGTACTGCCACCTGGTACCCTTACTTTTACTATCACTCTCAGTATTATGTTATTGAAACCAGTTTGATGCAACATCTGATACTAAGTCTTGCCAAAACAAAAAAAAATATAAGAAAGTTGCTGCTGTAGACCATAATAAGAGGTATGACAGACAAGCTATACTTAACCTACACCAAAGTCTGTATTTAATAATAGGAATCAAAGAAAAGTGTGGTTAGGGAGCAGTTTGCTACTTCCACATAATAGAGCAGAGAGATATTCATTAAACACATAAGGAAAATATTATTTTCAGGAAGTATTTCAGCAGAATATGGATTAATTAAAGGATATGCTTTAACATTTTTGTCAAGAATGACTTCTTTTTCACAAACTTCATTAATTTGCTAAGCGAATAGTAGCTGGAGAAATATGATTTTGAGAATGAAATCCCAATGCCGATTCAAAAATCAGTTGTAGACGTTGATTAAACTGATAGAGACAGAATTAAATTGAATTATAACTCTCACTATTCTAGATAGTGGTTATGTTCAACATCAGTTCACCTATTGTAATAGTTTAGTGTGCTGATCCAAACTTTTTCAAAAAAATTACTCTTTAGATATTACTATGTCGTGAGGCATCCCAAGAAACCATAGCAACCTCTTCCACCCTCACATAGATGCTCCATGCCTGGAAGTGTTCAAGGCCAGGCAGGATGCAGCTCTGAGCAACCTGGTCTAGTGACAGGTGTTGTCCACAGCAGAGGGGTTGGAACTAATTGATCTTTATGGGTCGTTCCAACCCAGGCCACTCTGTGACTTAATGATGAACAGCAGAAATTCTATTAGCCTGGGAGGATGATGGATAACTAAGATTTGAAAAGGTATGGCAGTAGAAAAGAAAGTATATCTTGTATCTGTTTTTAATTTCCAAGGTGTTTAGGAAATAGGGGGTTTTTTTTGAGAAGGACGCATGACTTGTTTCAGACTAGAGATGATATTTTGATATATTTTTATATATATATATTTCATATACATTGGTAGGTATATGAAACCATTGGTCAAATATTCTGTAATGGTCAAACAAGTGAAAAGTCAAAACTTTTTTTCAAAAAGCTCTGTAAAGTAAGATAGAAAGCAACACTATACCTTTGTGTTAATTAGTAGGATGATTTTTGAATGTGGGTGCAATTCTGTTGTCTTCCTGTCCTGCCCTGCAAAAAAAACCAGAGCTGGTAAAGTCAAATCAGCTGCTCCAAAACTCATTGAGAGAGATTTAGATGAATAGCTATAATTACTGTTTTGTAATGGAGAGAACTATTTCATCCCAGGAGCTGGTGGGAGATTCTGTTTGTGGGGTGCCCTGGGATGAGACCCCCATTTAAGGAATGTTCTCCCACAGTCCTTTGTTGTTTTATGTACCTCAGTTACATCATCCAAGTCACCTCAGCCCAGTTACGCCATTCCTTGTCCCCACCCCAGAATTATGTCATCCCCGTTCTGCGCCCCAGTTCCAGAATATTCCCTGCAGTGTCTTCCCTATTGGTCCCCACTCCCTGTCACTCCACCCCTGGACCCCGATTGGTTGTTACCCTTTGACCCCGTCTCTGCACCGCCCCTGTGCCTCAACCCATTGGCCCTCAGAGCTGATGCTCCACCCTTCCCTGTCGGTATAAAACCCTGGGCCCTCCTTTGTTCTTGTCCCTGGTTCCCATCTGTGTGGGCACAGTAAACTCTGCAGGAATAGCACACGTAGAGCCCCTCCTGTCACTCATCGACCCTCAGATACCACCACAGTGTCTGAGTGTCTGGTGTGCAGGGCTATCCCTTTCCCTGGACACAAAGCTCTCGGGAAGGCGCTGGTTTCGGCAGCTCCTGCCACGCCGCTGCAGAGAACATACTGTTATTCTGAGGTGATGTTTAATAAAAACATGTCGAAATTTTGGAAAGGGGGAAAGGTAAAGGGCACTGTAGTGCAAAACATGGAAAATCTTACTAATTTCTTGAAATTAATTTTAGAAATATGCAAATAAATGTAAAGTAAATTTTAAAATATTATGCTGGACCTGGAACCTTTGATACTTTTCAACACAAATCAGATGCAGCTATATTTATATTCATCTTAAAGCAAGGAAAAAGCCATCTTCAGAGATATTGCATTAATCAAATATTATCATCTGTGTCACAAAAATCTGTAAACTGCTATGAAGCAGGAGAAGTGTAGTGGTATCATAGTAATCTTTGCTAATTTTACCTGGTAAGGAGTTAGTTTTTCATTTATTTATTTATTTTTTAAAATGGTTATTGTTTGCTAACTAACATAATGTAAGTTTTTTGGGTTTTTTTTATTTTATTTCCACAGTCTCCATAAATACATTTTATACTATATATGAGTGTGGTTGTTTGACATTGATTGGTGTTGGGGAAAAGAATTAAGAAACACCCACAGAAGTGATTTCTTTGAGAGAAGCTGCTGCAAGCTTCCTCTGTGCCTGGGAAAGGCCAACAGCTGGCCACTTCTGAGAAATGACAACATTTTGCACCACTGAAAATTATGTCCACCTCTGTGAATGCGTACTTTTAAAACCCACAAGCCCAGGAACATTTCCTCTTTGGCTTCCAGCCTCAGAAGGTAACAAAGAAGAAGCTCTGATGAGGCCCTGGCGGGGTGGCCAGGCCAGATCCCAACAGCTCCTGGGCGGGGGATGGAGGCTGCTGACATCTCGCTGACCCCAAATTTCCACACACATCCTGCCCTACCCCCAGGCCCACACCAACAGCTCCAGGCTGAGCCAGAACCACCTGCCCCTCCCAGCTGCTGCTGGGCTGAGGGAGGCACCATTGCAACCTGAAATCCAACACTGTGACTGCTGCAGATTGGGCAAGATTTAACCCTTTCACTGCACAGATGAGACCTGCAGATGTTGATCCTCTCTCCAGGGAGAGAAAAGGACAGAGTGACAAGTAGAAAGACAGCATGAAAACATCAAGGTCAGTAAAAGAAGGAGTCAAACCTCAGATGGAAGAGGGGTGAGGAGATGCTGAATAGAGCTGAAATATTCCTTTGGCAGTACCATGGAGATGAACTAAAATGATATACTAAAGTATCTCCTTTAATTAATGAAAAAAGTAGTGGGGGAAGAAGTTTTCTAACTGTAGATGTGAGCAAAGGCATCCACTGACGAAGCCAAGCAGATGTTGGAGTAGCTGTGACCCCATGAGAAGCTTGAATAGAGAGAGAGATGAGAACTGATGAAGATCCTTTGCCCCTGGAGGGAGAAGAAAAAAAGCTCTGTTCCCAGAGATGATCACAGAGACAGATGGAGAGAACCTTTTCCTTTGAATAACTCATCCTTAAAATAATACCCCATGAGTTCATGGCCCATGAACATACCTGTAGGAAGGCTGTGAAAATGGGAGGAATGTCACGATGTCACAGCTGCTATTTGTAGAAATGAAAACCCACGAGAGAACTGTTTCTTGTGGAGAATTCTCCATGGCATGACAGAAGAAAACTCCTCTCCCCACAAGGACTGATGAAAGACTTGTATAGTTGGTACTGCCTTAACATCTCAGGTTTTGTCTCTATGGTGTCAACTGAGAAAGGAAAAAAAGTTGGGCAAGGGAAGGAAAGGTGTTCTGGAGGTTTTATTCTGGTTTCTAATTCTTGTAGTCCTGTTAATAAAGTTTCTTTATTCCTTTTAAGTTTTAAGCCTGTTTTGCCCTTCTCTTAATCCATATCTCACAGCAAGAAGTGAGTAAGTGTGCTGGTGATTTTAGCCAGCGCTAAAACCCACCACATTATTTGGTGCATTAGACGAGAAACTCAAATGACTGAATCTAAACCACTACATACTATACCAGTACACTATATAAAATACATATTATTTATAGAAAACAAAAACACGTATGGTTTTAAAGATGTAGCTAAAAATATTTCCTAGGGAATGGCCCTTTAGTGCATGTATTACAAATATATAAGTTGTTCAAACCTTGAAAAATAAACTAGCTTACTTTTTAGAGCTGATTTTGGTGTGCCAAATAGAAAAGTGGGATTTTTTTTCTTTTGAATAATCTTATAAGTACTTGTGCTGCCAGTTGTTCATCATACTTTCATTTGATGATGTGTTCACAATATCTCAGCTATAATAATCTTCAGGTCATGTCAAAAAAGGGCAGAAACTTAATTCTAAATTTGGACAGGATACAGAAAAAGTAACCAATCAAATGCTCTGCCTAGATGACAATGCTGAAATCTTAGTAAGTTTCTTTGCATCATTCGAAGGCCAAAATGCTGACAGCATAAAATGAAAAATTTGTCCGAATTTAAATAGCCTCTGAACATACAGGATCCTATCAGACTCTTTCAATTAATGTAATGCCTGGGAAACCATCTTCTGGCAGAAGCTCAGGTAATTTCTACAACACTTACTTGTTTCCTTACAATAAAAACCCCTTTTCTTCCCTGCAGATTTTTTGCAATTCCTAATTTGGCTACTAAATAGGAAAAGTCTCCAAAATGATGCAAACCAAAGTGAACAGATTGAGCGTGAAGTATTTTTCATAGTTTTCCTATGAAAACTAAAATGTATACATGTTTTCACTTTATCTCCTTAGGATACTACTCCTATTAACCTTTACACATATAAGAAAAGATTTTCTTAAGATTCTTGAGATTTTCGTATGTATGCTAAGTACCTATTCAGAAAAAATGTATTTTATGTCGCATAAATACACACCTACTGTAGTACTTATGACTCAAGAGATTATTTCAAAATGTAAAAGTTAGTGACATGGCTAAGCATTTAGACAATATACATTTAAAACCAAAAAAAAATACACTCAGGTAAGTGCATGGATGGTTTAGCATTAAAGGTGTTAGTAATTTTGGTAAATGCAAAAGAATACTCACAAAAGAATTAAAACTATCAATATATAATACTGAAGTACATTTTTCCTACAGGAATGTAATAACAATAAGTATTAGAGTTACATTATTTTTTTCTTCAAGTCACAGTCTAACTACATCACTTTGAGATAGTGATTCAGTGACTAATAAATCCCTTGAAATTCTTCAGTATGCTTCTTATATTTTAGATCCATACCTTTTATATATAGAATAGAATAACTATTTTAACATTCATTGAAATAAATGTTACTGAAAAATAATTGTGAAAATAAATGCAGAACTAATATGCAGAATTAGCAAATTAACATACTGTATTTACTGTAGGAATTAAATATTTAGCAGAGACAAATTGAAAGATTTTATTGTACTTTTTTGTACTTTATGTACGAAGATCCAGAATTTAGAATTTAGGTTTGCTGCATGAAAGTGAGTAATTCTATGGATTTGGGAATAACATTCATTTTCTCCCATGAAATATTTGTTTTAACACTGTGACAGCCATATCAAAAGCTAAGGCAGAATGGGTATAAAATGTAGTCCAAGACTTTCATAGGCTTAGTAAAGATTTCAACTTTTTTGTCAATAGAAGAAGATAATTAGTCTTGCCTGTTTTTAAAATAATATTTCCTTCAATTTACATTTTTCAAAACTATTGAGAAGGCAAATCAACATGAAAAATCAAAACAAAGTGTGAGTCAGATTGTTTCATTTTTCCTTTTATGTTTCATTTTCTTTCCAGTAATTTTCTACATTTAATCCAAATGGGTGTGCTTATTTTCTGTGTATGTTTGCAACCTCTATCTTACAGTTTTCCCTGTGATGAACAAGGCATGGTGAACTAGAGAAACAGGTACACCTTATAAATGGTAAATTTTTGCATCTACTCTGCTCTAAGATGATCATTTAGTACATACCTATTTAGTATATAAACTGCATAATTTTTGAGAACTTTATCATTGTACTTTACTTGAAAACCTGGCAGGAGATACATGCTGTTATGAAAGGCCAAAGTAGAAAGCTTGCAAAAAAAAACAAGACAGCAATCTACATAAGCTTTTAGTGAATAAATTATACAGAGGAAAGTTCAAACCTCATAAGTTCCTGGGTTTTTAAGCAACATAAAACCTGTGTTTTATTAATTGCTTTTGACAAATAGCCCTTTTCCTTTCTTCCTCACAGTTTCCCACAGAGACATGTCTTTGGACTGAACAGTGCAGCATGTGCTCTCTAAAGAAAACAGTCAGAATTATAGAGAAGAGGATTGACAGCAAATGGAACCCAGGCAGTTCACATGCTCACACTAAAAAGCAAATGAACTTCAAGTTTTTTAGAAAACTTTTCAAGCTTGAAGACTGCTTTCTGTGGTACTGATGATGTTAAATGGTTGTTTTTTCTCAGGTCAAGAGCAATTTCATTAATTAGCACAGCAACCAATCTGCAG